TTTTTTTGAGAGGGAGAACACTTGAGTCTTGGCCTTTTTTGCTCACTTTTCGGTGTCAATGAACAGTTTTAACATATTAGCAAAGTTTCTTAAAGTACACATAAATATGTTTGATGTGAGAGCGTAGGAAAATCCGGGGAAAATCTGGTGGAAAATCCAGCGGATGGGGAGGCGCCACACACAAGTGCAAAGGCAAACGGAATATTATGTAAGATGCCGGGGCCAAAAGTGGTGGATGAGTATGGCCATGTCCCTTGGGGGAGCACCAAAAAAAAAGTTGTATAAAAAATTCTTTACATTTTTTTTTGCGCTGAAAAATCAACAAGAAAAATATATCAGAGTTTATAAGAGCGGATTTTCGTTGCCATCTCGCTCTCTCTAACAGATTTTGCTCTCTCTCTCTCTTTCTTAAGGAAAGATATCTTGTTCTCGCTCTTTTGCTCTCTACGCTTTGGCTGCAATGTACAAGCCGTAGCGAACAAGAGAGCTCTCTCTCTCTCTCCTTATTCGCTCTTTTAAGTTTCTTTAAGTTTCTTAAAGCCATTGAGTTCTTAAGAGTTTATTTTCCCCACAAAATCAGCTCAATAAAACAATTTTCGATATTAAATTATCATTTTTGCCTTGGAGAGCACACACACACACATACTCATACACTCACAGGCCCCACTACAACTACAACAAAAGGATGTCGTGCCGCGTCGCTTAATCATGTCAATGATTTATAACGCTTTCAAGGACCCAGGACCCCCAGCACCACCAGCAAACTCGAACTTGTCGACGCCAACTCTCTCTCTACCCTCTCTCTCTCCCTCCTCCAGGTGGTGGAATGACTTGCCAGACAAAGGCATAGCGACTGGCTTAGAGGATGCGGAAATACGGAAATGCGGAGTTTGGGCCCAGGTCCGAACATAAGTTTCCCGGCTACTTATATGCCGCCATGGTAGTGGAAGTGGAAGAGCAGTGCCAGTAGTCGAGGGCAAATTTATCTCACGAAAAATGATTTGGCTCATTATCAACAGGAGCTAAAGTGCAGCCGGGTTACACTTGGAGAAAAGGATTTAAAAATATTTATAAAATTTATTTGTTTTAATTTTTAAAATAATTTTTAGTGATATTTTTAAGTAATTTATAAATTTTTGTAAAATTACTCACCTCACCTAAGTAAAGGATAATGGAAAATTATTCCTAAAAATATATACACTAATTATCTAAAAGAAACAAACAAATTATAATAATAAATTAATAATTACTAAGAAATCCTGTGAATACTTTAATTATCACTTAGAACCTCTTGGCATTTCATTTGTATATTTTTTAATAATTTTTAAATTTTCTAGAATTTTTTTTCAGTGCATCCACAGAACCAGAGATACATTTATAGACAAAAGATGGTAGCTAGTGGTGGAGTTTGGGTCCTGGGAGTGAGAGACATCGAACAAACGCATAAATCAACAACAAAAACAGAAAAAATGATTTATTTTTCTTTGGCTGCTCCTTCAGCTGCTTCCTGTGGCTTCCACCTCCCATCACCCACCACCCACCTCCCACCCTAATATTGTACATATATATATATATATTCCAGGGGATGGAGTGTTATATGATTGCTTCTAATAAGTAAAGTGGGATAATGCCGGTTATTATGCGTGGAATGAGATCAGGTATGAGCAAAAGGAAAAAATTGTTGCAAAAATAAGAGGAAATTGAGGCACACAAAGGTGTGTGTTGTGTGTGCCCACCAATAATAAAGTAATCAAAGTGATATGGTGTTGATGCCGTAAGGAACTGAGAGTTTTTGGGAAGAAAGAATTCGTGTGTGTGTGTGTGTTGTTATTGTTGCCAGGACACCCACCTCCACCCACCCCCAGATTATGCCATTAAGACATGAGGGGCAATCGAATTATAGTACTGGGCCTGCAAATGAAATTGAATAAGGAATGGCACTGGAGATAATACTGGGAATCTTCCAGCTGAACAACAAACGGAACAAAGGACGAGGCATTTAAGAAGGCCGCCAATCTGGTTAAGGGGATCAGGAGGAGGTCCTAATGATTGGAGTTTTTAAGGGGGAAAACAAGACTTTAATATTCTTTATCAAATTTGAATAGCATTTTTATGTTTTGTATATATTTTTTATATTTATTTAGATTTTATTTACGATTTTATAAATTATAATTTATGTAGTTACAGGCTACAGGAAAGGAAAGTATAAATTTAAAATGAAAAGATGAATATTTAAGGATTGTTTTAAGTAAAAACTGTTTATTTTTAATAATAAATACAATTTTAATTAATAAATATTTAATAAATAATATTTTATAAATTCTTAATATGCTTTTAATAATTAATATTATTATAATTAATATATAAAAATAAATAATAATACATAAAAAGAATATTTTATACAAAAAATAATAATAATTAATAAATAAAATAATAAATAATATATTATAAATTATAATTAACATTTTAAAATATTTATTAATAAATAAAAATAAAATTGTATCCAAAAAAAAATAATAATTAATATTCTCATATCATCTCCTTTCATCACCAACCAATTTTAAGTAATTCCAATTAAATGCTAAATGTTATTTATAATTTATAGGAAGACAAGCAAACGAAGAAGCAACTTTCCTCGTGTACATGTGTCTTGTGTCTCTCCACCAAACCCCATAAATAGTTGCTTAATTACCTTTTCAAGTGCCAAGTGCACTCACCTGCCTAACCACCCACACCCCCTTTCGAATTTTCCCCAGAACAAAAAAAAAAATAAGGAAAAACTTGCACAAAGAAAACCCTGAAACACACAACAACTGAAAGAGGAAGAAGTTGAGGCAAAAGCCGAAGACAAAGTATAAAACATATGCCAAAACACCGATTGCAATTAATCTTGTGCATGTTTTGGTCTACACCCCCACCACCCACCTGGATTTTCCAACCTCCTTGAGTTAAACTGTATTGGTAAACAACGAACAAAACGGAAAACGGAAAACTTGCGCTGCATTTGGCTTGTTTTAACCCGTTTTCTTCCCCTTAATTTCCCCCTCTCTATTTTTTTTTCTAACCGCCAGAGTTGCCACCTGCAAAAAGGAAGCAGGCAATTTACCGAGAAGGTCCTTTGCCTTGTATTTGTTGTGTGTGTGTGTGTTTGGCGGTTGTGTGGGTGCCGATCTATTGTTGGCAAAGCAAACTTTCGCTGCATACTTCAAGGCGCCACCCACATAAGCCGCTACTCCAAGGATATCCAGGGTTGCAAGGCAGCCAGCGTCTGTGTGTGTGTGTGTGTGTGTGCTATAGACATTTGTGAGGTATCCCTTAAATACCAATTTATGGCACAAGCAGATAAAGTCCCAAATCTGCACTTAATCTTTTGCATTGTTTAATTTCGACTCATTGAGTTAGAGCGCCAAAAATATCCCACACCATCATAGCATGTGTGTGTATTGTGTGTGTGTGTGTGTGTGTGTGTGTGGTGTTTGGGCGTGGCTCCCATGAATGGCCATTGTTCGCTGGTTGCTTGGGTTAAGGGGGTGATGGTGGTGGAGGCACTTAAGTTGCCTGGGAAATAAATCGCTGTCGACATCTACAAGCGACCAACAAAGTGAAATTTTTACTCGAAATTCATTTGATTTTTTATAAAAAATATTTATTTTTAACAAATAATAAATGCAAGTATATATATTTAATTATTATAATATATTTTAAATTTATTTAGGAATATAATAAAATATTTAAAAATATATTACAACAAAATAAAATATGTTCTGAGCAATAAAAATTAAAAAAAAAATATACATTTTGATTTTCAAAAATTGTAAAACACATTATCTATTTTACTTTATTGTTAAACTTATTTTTGTAGCTTTAAAAAATATATAGAGTATTGATTTATGGTTTTTAAAATATATATAAGATTGATTTATTAATTAAAAAATATATATAAATAAGCTTACATTTTATTTTATTATTTTTAATATTTATTTTAGCTTATTAATATTTTGTATAATATTTTTTATATTAATAAACTACAAAAAAATTTTGAAAATAATTTGTATTGATTTTTCTAATACGATTTAAGCCTATTTATATTATTTAATTATAATTATTAAATTTATATAATTTCAATGTAAGTTATTAATAATTTTATACATTTTTTTTTTTTTAAGTGCAAGTCTGTGAGGTTTTTTTTGGTTGATTTTGTAGGATATTTCGATGCATCATTGCAACCGCAGCAGCAGCAACACACACACACAAACACACTCACATGCTTGCTCAACAGGCGCAACAGTCGTCCTTCCTTCCTTCCTTCCTTCCTTCCCAGCCCCCTCCCTCCCTGACCCCACTCTGCGGTTTCCCAGCCCCCCAGACCAAACCCAAATCCGAATCCGAATCCGGGTCTTGGTCCAACGCAAGTTGTTTGCTAGTTAAAACTTACAACTTGCGCGTTATTTCCTGCCACACACACACACACATACTATTTGTGGGAAAGGAGGGAAAAAGGGTGCAAAAGGGGGGGAAATAAGGAGCACAAGAAACACTAGGAACAGTAGACAAGGGGGGGTAAGAGCTACCCACTGCCAACCGCAATGCCCTCCGTACTTAAGGTGTTAACGCAAAAGCTTGACTCATAAAATATTGAAAAAGCCGCAAAAACTTTGCACCAAAAAAGCTTGCAAAATATATACAGGTAATAGACAAAAAAATAAAAAATATATATCTAAATAAAAAACTAAGAAAATAAAGCCGAGGTGTTACAGGTATATGGGGAAAATAATTAGGAAGCAAGAAACCAAAAATTGAAGGGTTAGGATCTTAAGAAAATACCAAAATACATGTGCTATTATACTTTATTTAAGAAATATAATTAATATTAAAATTTATCAGATGTTAAAAGTCGATGGCTTGCGATATTTATTAAAATTGAAATATTATTTAGAACATTTATACATTTATATCAAATATATATATACGTTTTTGTTATACCATAATTCCTCTTTTAGATAAGCTTAGCTTTTCCCTTCAAAAAGAATAAAATATGTAAAAATTATCCGTTACAAACAGTCGCTTGATTTGGTTATCGGTGTTTCCCTTTCGATTTCCTATCCAACGCAGCGATCCAGCGATCATCATGACGCCGACCAACGTGATCCTGCTGCAGTTCAGCCTTCACTGCTTCAAGATCATCTTCATCTACTGCATCTGTGTGCATGTCCTGGAGCATGTGATTACCAGGATACAGGAGAGATAAGGTTCTGGGTTATATTTCAAATCGATAAAGAAAAATAAAAGAAGAAGCGACACTCTACTAGGAAAATCCTATGATTTTTATTTTAAAGATATTTCTTTCCTTTTCCTTTTTTAATAATATAACTAATGGGCATACCAGAGTCGTTCTCGTTCTATTTCTCGTTCTCGTTCTCGTTCTAGTTATCGTTATCGTTATCGTTATCGTTATCTTTATCGTTCTCTTTCTCGTTCTTTCTCTCGTTCTCGTTCTTGTTCCTTTTCTCGTTCTTTTTTTTCTCGTTCTCGTTCTTTTTCTTTTTCTTGTTCTCGTTCTCGTTTCCTTTCTCGTTCTCGTTTTCTTTCTCATTCTCGTTCACTTTCTCTTTCTCGTTCTCGTTCTAACATAACTACTGGGCATCCCACGCGTCGCAATTACTTTCATCTGCATTCATGTTGAAAATCGATGCGATTTACATAAATAACATATAATTTTTAATGGGCTTTTCATCATGGAATAAATTATTTGCTGGCAACGAAGGGAACGGAAAACGAAACGGAAATTCAAATTACCTGCAACGTAATTACACAAAAGAATATGCCAATAAAAATGACTTATGTATCAATTTCCTTTACGACACACAATCCCCAGATACCAGACAGAGGATGCGATGCTCCTCCTGCCGATGACGATGATGATGACGATGATAATAATAAAAGGCAACGTAGCACAAAGCGTACAATTTTCAATTTTATTTTTATTGCCTTATTGTGTATCAAATATTTACAATTATTTGCCTCCGCGGAAAATGAGCAACGAGAGAGAGACCGGAAAAGCGGCATTTTCCGCGAGACAGCCACTGAATCCTGTTGATAAATTCAAATAAATTTTCGTTGTCGGCCAGGCAGGAGAGTAACCAAGGTGAAAATGATGAGGCCAAAAACTACAGACGTGGAAAAGTTTTCAATACAAAAGAAAAAGAAGAAAACGGGAAAAGCGAAAGGTAGAAAATTGCATTTTCCCAGTCTGCGGCATTAAAATTTTATTTTTATGCCATTGAGACTTTGATTTACATTTTTCGAGTGTTGTTATAATTTTGATAATATTTTATAGCTTCGAAAAAGTGGTAAATGGTGCGTAAAATGTCTGGGAAAATGAAGAAAAATCTTTAACAATTTTTATTTAATTTAATAATAATTATTAAAAAGTAATTTAAAGTAACCTTTGCTTTTCCTTTGGCCATCTGCTTGGCAAATGTTTATTTCAGTTGCCATTTTCACCGGAGTTTTTCCGGCGAAACCTTGCCAATTGAGACGGGCGGCTTCCTTTCTTCCATCAATTGGAAAGCCATTTGTGGCGGGGCTTTTCCCTTCCTTGGCTGTCTGCCTTTTTCTTTTTCTCCTTTTTTTTTTCTTGGTTCATTTAACAACAATTATAATGGTTTCCACTTTTGGCATTACTTTTAACGGTTCTCTGCTTGAGTTTTCCGCGAGTCTCCAGCTAAATTTCCGTGGCAATCGAAGAGAGCTTGTAAAAGTTAATGAAATGAAACCATAGGAAAAGCCAGGGAAGCTGGCTGGGAAAATGGGGAAAAAGAGACAGATTCGCTTGGCACTTTTCGGCTTTTCCGAATCTATTTTAAGTAATATTTATGTGACTTCACTTTCGCTTTTTTTTTAATATTTTTATACTCTCCTTCCCAATTAATTTTTATTTATGTCTGTGTCTCTTCCTTTTCCCTTATCAAACAAACAGTTGGCAAAATGATAAATGCGCTTCACCCTAAAAATGATATAAAAAAAAAATATAACAAATAATAATAAAAACCCAGCCCAGCATTTGGTAATTTAATATTTTTTTTTGTCATTTTTCCGGGAGAAGGGGCTGCGTAAAAAATGACAATTTTTAATTATCAAATGCGTTTAATGATAAAAATTGTCTTAGCGCGAGTGGTGGCCACTTTCCCAGCTTTTAATTTATGATTTATTTGTGTGGGTGGGGCGGGGGCGCCCATAATAATTAATATTGCACACAAGGAAATACCAGAAAAAAAAATAGAAAAAAAAAACAAACACACAAACCCAAGAGTGGCGGAAGCGACAAAAAAAAAACAAACAAGAAAAGCCCGAGCAAAGGCGTCGAAAACAATTCCCCAAGGGGGGTTGGGCATTTTTTCATAAATCTTGAAGGCGCGTGAAAAAGGGGGGTGGGGCAGGGGGAAAGCGACGACAGTAAGTGCAATGTCATTGAGGCGAAGAAAGGCGAGAGAGAGAGAGAGAGAGAGAGAGAGAGAGAGAGTGGGCGGTCGACTACGCCCCCTTTGAGCCACAACGACGACGCCACACATGCGGCAAGGCGTCGTCTTGAGTCCTGAAAATTAAAAGTATTTCTCGAATTATTGTTAATGATGATTAAAAATATGTGTACCTGCGGAAATGAAACGGCAAAAGGTGCCTTCTCCCGGTGGTTAATGTATGGTAATGTGCGGGGGAATGGGTTGCTCCTGGTCCTGGAGTTGTCGTCTTGTCCCCAAAGCGGATGAGAGCCTGGGTTTTCGCATGCTTTTGGGAAGAAAACTCAAGTAATTGGAGGTGGAAAATACAAGATATTTGAAGTATATATTTATTTTAATAAATTTATTTAAAGATATATATTTTAAGGTCTTGAAAGAGCAAGTATTAATTCATTTTCTTATTAGTTTTTCTATTTATTTTCACATTCTTCTTAATTAAAATAGCTAGTAGTATGAATAGCTATTTTTCTTATAGGTAATCATCTTTCTCTTGTATTCTCTCGTTCTCGTTGTGGTTCTCGTGGGTTTTTTGTATTCCTTTTCGTTCTTAGTATCATTCTTCTCGTCGTTTTACTTCTCCTTCTTCATCCGGTTCTCGCTGTCAGTCTTGGTAAAGCTCTTGTTTACCTTCTCTTATTGTTCTCGTTGTCTTTCTCGTTCTTATTCTCATTCTTCTCGTTATCCTTCTCGTTATATTTCTTAGATTTATTATCCCTCGTTCTCGTTTTGCTGTGGTTTCTGTTCCCCTTTCGATCTTTTTCTCGTTCTCGTTCTTAGTCTCCCTCTTTTCATAATTCTCTTTCTAACTTCCCTTATAGTTCTCGTTCTCGTTCTCGTTCTCGTTCTCGTTCTCGTTCTCGTTCTCGTTCTCGTTCTCGTTCTCTTTCCCCTCCTCAACCTCCTCCCCACATATCCTTAGGAGTCAAAAGTGAGCATCTCTCCCGTTGGGTGGTGGGGTCGGCGTGTGGCGGCACTCGATAACATAATTATCTGTCATAATCAGTAGGCGTTGAAATGTGCAATTTAAAGTGCAATTTAATGCGCGCCAGCAGCTAAAAACAACAACGCCGATACGGCCACAGATACAGATACATATGCATAGAGAGAGAGTCACAGTAACAGAGCCACGGATACAGATACAGATACGGATACAGATACGGCTATGGTTATGGTTATGGTCATGGTTATGGTTACGAATGCAGATACAAATGCAACCGGTTGCATTGGGGGGGTAGCAACAGTCACTGGTTTAGTTTGTGCATGCGAAAAGGGGGATCAAATTAAATCAAGAGACTAAAAATATACATTTTACTGTGGATATTATAAGATAATAAGATAAAAATTAAGTCAGCAATCAAAAGTTAAATAATAATAATTAATTAAATAATAAAATTTAAGATTTTATTAAGAAGATCTCTTGTTTGCTTGTACATAGCAGGCAAAGCCTCGCAAGACTTCTATAAATTAAATTATTATAATATTTAATCTCAGCTTATTTATAATTTTCAAGGCATTCAAGAATGCAATTCTAAAGTAACCCTCTGCACACCCCTCTGCTCGACGCCACTGTCCCCCATCTAGTCTAAAGCATTTCGGTGATTGTGTGTCAGTTTGAGTTTTCGCAAATTTGCATCGGATTATTGCAATAAACATAATTATGCGCGCTGCATATGATTTTTCAATTAAACACATGCCAACCCCCAATGGGGGATGCAAATAAAGGGTTAAGCCGTAGCGGGTGTCAAGGGGACACCCCCTGGGGGGTGGAGAGAGGAGAGGGCTCATTCGGCGATGACACGGCCAACCAAATTGCTGTGCCGTTCGTTGCGGGTGTTTGTAATGCATATTTGTTAATTAAGTGTCGCATGTGTGTAAAGTCGGGCTATACTACCCCTATTAAAAGCTCTCTGGCGCACCCCCCCCACTTCCGGCACGCCCATGATGCAGGCATGCCTGCCCAGCATGTGGTGCAATTCTAGCGGTGCTTAAGTGGAATCAATGGATTGTAAAGCAGAGATAATCATTTTTGGAAGAGGCACACACACACACACACAAAAAAAGACAGTCCCCGAGGTAGAGGCTTCGTCTTTGGGCATACCCGGCCAGGAGCCTTAGGAGACTTTTAGAGCCCTTTGCTGATGCTAGAACTAATTGGGAATTTTAATGAAAGCAAGCGGAATTCTAAATAAAAAACTAGATGGTCTTGAAGTAAGCTAGTAATGCTGTCAATATTATTTATAAAATATATAAATATATTTTTTTTAATCAAACAAATAATATTTAAAAAAAATAAAAAACGATATAACTTATACCAAATACCCTCTAAAAAAAATCACAAAACGCGTTGATATCATTAAATATTTTGAAGAGCCTTGAGCCATGGCCTCGAGTACCGGGCGTGTGTGGTTGCCCCTGACAAATGCCACCCACTCTCGATTATGATGCTCCTGCTGCTGGTATATCGCTGAAAATTTCAGTTAGATGAGGTGTTGATGCTGAAACTCTGCGGTGCGATTCGGTTTGTGTTTGTCATTTCAAGCAAACTGCACTTGATGACTGGTTACGGGTTTTGCCCTGCCCACAACACAACCCACAATTAAATGCATCTACATACATGTCTTTGTCTTTGAAAGCGAATTTCGTTATATTAATCAACCTTGGATAAATACATAGATAGAATATGTGAACGCTTGTCGTGTCAAATGGATCCACCCGGAAAATCGAAAACCACAAATTAACAAAATGTTAAAAAAAATATATATGTATAAAAAAATTAAACTAACTAAAAAAAAAAAGAGAAGGGAGGCAAAAAAACCTAAGACTTAGGTCAGTGTGACCACGGCCACTAGTCCTGCCACTGGTATCTCATGATCCTGCAGGGATAACTCCAGTATATAGTCACCCTTGGGAGCATTGTCCGGCAAAAAGTTGGTCTCCATCTCGTAATTATCGATCTTGTATTTGCCCTTGGGAAAGGGACACTTGCCCTGCTCGGGCATATTGGAGACCTTCTGCAGGTAGGGATACGTGTCCTTGTCCTCGTTGATGAACTGACAGTAGGGCTTGTTCACATTCATCACCAAAGGACCCTTTTGGCTGGCTTTTGAATCGTAGACAAAGACTCGCAGGGAGATCTAGGGATTATGATATATCGAATAATATATTTTTACTATTTTCTTTTTATTTTCTAAGTAATTTCCCTCTTACCTTTTGTTCATCTCCCATATTAAACTTGAATTCAAAGTCCCCGGCCACCGCAAATTTATTCCTGCCAATCTTCTTCATCCTCAGGTTGCCCCAGTCCACCCATTTATCCTGATTATCGATGGACTGGTCGCGTTCAAAGGAGTTGAGCTCCACGTTGTAGGGTTTCTCGTTCTCACAAAATACATTTTGCACTGAGACTATGGCCAAAAGTTGCAGAAAAACGTAAAGGGGCCGGCATTGTGCCATCTTGCTGCCTTGGCTAAACTGTGCCACCAACGATCTCATCTCCCTTTATATATATTGCTTTTATTATATACCTAACTATATATTCCACTTGATTTTGTTGCAACTTATCACGCCATATTGTTGTTTTACCCCCGATAAATATGTTTTGTAACTCGAAAATGTTCACAATGGAATTTCTCGACAAGGTTATCACGTATAATTATCACAATTTAGTCGTTATTTTAATTAAATAAATATATGATTATAATGTTTGCAGTGACCTTACATAATTTGAATTTAACAAGGGGGTCTAGGGATGGAAGAAAAGTGTAGTTAAGTAACAATTTGTTATCGATATATCGAGAAATTTATTACATTTTACTTTTAAATTCAAAAAATATATATTTCAAAAATTTAATTAAATTTATTTAATGTTATATAAGTATAATCGATATTTATATGTATAATTACCACGTTAAAATATCGATTTTGAATCGATAAATCTATTTTTATACCTAGTTCAATAAGAAATAGGTAGAAGTCTGACTGAATTTTATAAATTAAATATTTTTACTCAATTTTCTGTAACATATTTATTCACAATCCTGAAACAACCAATTATTTGTTACATTCTCATTCGATTACACTTTAATTCCCATGCCTTTTAGCCGCCTGTCCTGAAACTTTTGCCAGTGAAATTCTGCAAAATATTTGATGGCAACTAATCTCTTAACACTCTATTGAGACGTGTAAACTTTTAATAGCATTTGCTCCACTCCACGACAGTCTGACGGGTATTATGGCAAGGAGGGGTCCTTGTTTTATGGCCTGCAGCAGTTTTCGTGTTTGAACATCAAAAGTAATAAATTCATCGAACCATCGCAGAGACAGAGACAGAGAGAGGAGAGAGCGAGGTGGCTTGGCTTGGTGTCTTGGATTTTGTTGTTGTTTTAGGTCCGCTCTGCCCAATAACTTTCCGTTGGGGCTTTTCCCTTGCTTTTCACCTCTCCTCACCACCTACCTACCTGTCCAGCCGTTAATTTCCCGCGAACTCCAGCCTGTTGTTTTGCCGCTTTCCTCCGTCCTTGGCCGAAAAACTTATTTGGCCAACTCTGTCTGTCTTGGCCTGCTTCGTGCAATCAATGCAAGGGCACTCACTCTACTCACTCTACGCCTCTGACATGTCCAAGGGGGGGCGTTTAAGTGTCTCTCGAACTTTAGTGAAAATATTTCAGGCTTATTTATAGGTTTCTAATCGAAAGGAATTAAGGCTAAAACTAGTTTGAAATGGGAAAATATTTAGTTAATTATTCTAAAATTAGTTAATACTATTTACTTGTTAATATTTATAATTAGTTTATTAACTATTATTAGCTGAATCGTTTCAACTCTAGTTATTCCGTAAAAATTAAAGAAAAGAAGCTCTTGGAGTCTAATAAAAAATCCCTCTCAATTGCTAATGCTTGTACATTGCAGGCGTAGATAAAGCGACAGAAAGATCTTTCATTTTAAGCCTTAGTTAATCGTTGATTAATTTCTAAATAATTAATTTCCCCATCTCTGTTTTTTTTTTGTATATTTTTACAATAACTAAAGAGCAGCGACTTTTTTCTTATTTTTTCTTCAAACAACCAAAAAAAAGAAACAGAAAGGGGGCCGCTAATAAATCGGTTTCAATCTATCAAAGACTTAAATTTCAATTTTTTTCAAATTTCCTGCCATTTAAATGCACTCCTTCGTCCGCTGGATTTTCCAGTGGCTTGCTGGGGGGTTGGGGTTGGTCCAAGGAGAGCCCATTGTCATGGTTGGCTGGTAAATGATGCGCAAGGGGGGTTGGGCATAGCACATTCGCTGCAGAATTGTGCCTTTTTGAGTGAGCCAAGAATTGAATATTTTTCCTTGCCTTGGCTTTATACTATATATATTTTCTTTTTTTATTTTACACTTCTCTTTGGTGCTGCTATTTGTATACCCTTTGAATGGGGTTGTTAAAATAAAATAAAATAAAATAATGATGGTCCAAGTTGGGGATGTTAATATATTTAAGGGGAAAGTACATCAAAAATAGCACTTATAATATTATATAGAAAATTTCTTAGACTTGGAAATATGGAATTTTTCATAAAAAAAAGTTCAATAAAATATCGAAAAATATCGGAAAAATTCGATTTTATTAATTTTTTTTTTGTTAGAATTTTAAATTCACTTTTTAAGGAAAATAAAATATTTAAAAATATATCAAAAAATATATACAAAAAATAGATTTAATTTATATAATATTGGCTTAAAATATATAAAACAAAATATCGATTTATTGTCCATATATTAAAATATAAATATTGTATAAATATATCGATTTATTTTTCAATTAAAAATGCATAAACTTTTGTGTTTGTTCACCGAAACCTTTTACATTTTGGCATGCAGTTTATAAGAGATAGTTCCAATATTACTAGATATCTAGGTATATCCCATAGGGTATTTTTAGCTCCATCATTGCTGTGCTTATTTCGTTTTTTTTTTTTTACTTTGGCGACAGACAACGACGCAATTCTTTAGCATTTTATTTCAATTTTCTTCATTTTTTTCCCGTCAGCGTGGGCAACGCAGTGTACAGCACATTTACTGCCTCATCTATTTAATACCATAAATAATTGCATCTAATTAAATATGCTCAAATGAAAATGTCCGCTTTTCTTTCTTATTTTTTTTTTTTTCACCCGCTTTCCTTTTCTTATTTTTTTATATTTTTTATTCCTGAAACCATCCCGGCTACGTGCCATGGGTTTGGCTGCAGTTGACGCGTGATGGAGCGAATGTCATTCGAAATGAAATTCAAGTTCCAATTTGGACCCAAAGGAAGAGAAAGAGATGGATAGAGCTGGAAAGAAAGAGAGAGAGAGAGGGAAAAAGATTGGGTGCCAAGAAGAAATTAAGTAGCAGCGGGCAAAGGGGCAAAGAGAAAAAAAAAAGAATTTAATAGTTTTCAATTAGGAATCGTTTGCAGCCTTTTCTTTTCGCACCCTCTCTTTTCGTGAAAAAAAATGCCACAGCATCAGCCCACCAACGCTTTTCCCTCCCTCCCCCCACACACACACACTTTCCCGGCCAAGTGTCAAGCAAATGAAGTCACGACTCGTCCTCCACAGTTTCTTTATTCGTTATTTGGCCCTTGTTTCTGGCCCTCTTATTCCGTTATCAGATACCCTGTAATTAGGGAAAGTAGTAGACTTGACCCAAAATTAATTTAAAAAGTTAAGAGAAACGGAAAATGGATTTCTTGGATATTATTTGAGAGAAATATCCCCCTGAAAGTGATTTCTCCTTGAAGCTAAAACCTTCCAGGTCATCACCCAGTCGTTACACTTTCTTGGCTTAAATGCCTTGGCATTCTTCTGAGCTTACCGCTCCCTCGCTTGCTTTTGGTGCCCCCCACTGTTGTTGCTTTGACTGCTTCCTTTTAATTCAACGTAAATTTTATTTTATTTTAATTTCGCTGCAATTCTTTTAACACACTCCTGTCTATTGCCCTCTCTTTTTCCCCTTCCCTATTGCCCTCCCTCTTGCTCTCTTTATGAAGCAAACGCAACTGGAAATGCTTGGCGTATTTTGTTCTTATTTTCTTGGTGTCATTTTTTGTTTTTATTGAAATAATGTCCTGGTTACTTTTTTTTCTCAGTCAGGTGATTGTCATGTCCCAGGAAGTGCTCGCTTTCCTTTAATTAAATATATAAACAAATAAATTAAACAGAAAGTGAAAAATTAAAATATCAGGCATAAGATTAATTTAATTAATTGTAAGGTAACCGAAAGGTCCTATCAGTTTTGCTTTTCCTATTTCGTTGCCTCACGAGAGGACCTGACCCTCTGCCTCTCCCTCACGAGAGACTCTCTCCCAAGACTAACGAAAGAGAGAGATTACTTTTGCCTCACGGGAGGCTCTCTCTCCCTGCTCCTTCTGCCTAGCTTTGCCTGCTATGCATCAGCAAAAGCAAACGAGAAGAAGAGAGTTATATCTTGGCTGCTCTTTAAGAGAGGGAATATCACTTTTTCTTTAAGATTTCCAAATAGTTTTCCTATTTTAGTTTGTCTTTCCTATTTTCCTAATAAATAAATTTAAATAAATTGTGTGAGAAAAAAGGAATATTATACTCTCTTTTTTCGCATTTCTCCCCTTTTAAAATCTATCCAAAAAAACCCACAAATCCACACCTCGGACTGTGGACAGTTAACACCAAACAGATGTCCTGTCACTTATTGGGGTTAATAGCGCATAGAAACCCTTCCTTCGTCCCAATCGACAAGACAAATCACACAAATTGACAAACGTTTAACATAATTTACACGGCAAAGCCGAAACGACTTACAGTTGACCAGGGGTAACCAGATCCTGGCCAATATTGACCCTTTCGCCCTTTGCCTTGCCAGCGACGACGACAAAACCCTTGTCAACATTGCGTAACCGAAACTATTAAAAAGATCAGCCAGGACACAGGACAGGACGGGACAGGACACTTGACTGAACAAATAAAAAAAAGAAAATCAAAAAATGGGGCGGAAAAAACACGAAATTGAAGAGGATGTCCCGGAATTTTGGTCATTTTTCACACGCTCCGGACTAAGGAGGACATATGTTCATGGTCAAATCGATTAAATAAATCATTAGCATCTTTTTTGGCCAATTCCTTGGATGTCCCCGGTGTCCTTTGTGTCCTCCTCCCCCCACGAGTGGCCTTTTGTGAGGCGAACGCGTGTCGCAACTTTTCCCATGTGTTGCTCTCTGCAAATTGTTTTTTAATACAAAAGAAACCTCCCTGAAAGTGGGAATTTTTCTTTATTTTCTTTGGTTTTTCTTGGATTTTTTTGTATGTTGGGCGCCCTTGTCGTTTGACATTTAATTTGTTGCCAAAGGAGTTGGTCAAGAATGAAGGCTAATTTATTGCAGGAGACAGGAGACAACTTCTAGAAGGAGGGAATATTTTCTTCTAGAGAAAATTAAAGTCTTGATGGATTTTTTGTAATAATATT